GCAAGCTTGTTTCAAGTAGGTGCTTTAGACCACTGAGCCATCACTCCAGCCCTCTTATGTTTGTTTTTCTATTTATACAGGGCACTCAAATAGACTCAGTTGTGAAAATGAAGCCTGATAACTTCCTCCAAGTGCACATTCCTTATTTACTTCAATGGGTTCATTTTTTGTGTGTGTGGTATTGGGGATCGAACTCGGGACCTTGAGCTTGCCAGGCAGGGACTTCAACCGCTGAGCTATCTCCCTAGCCCTGGGTTCATTTTAATGACAGTTAAAAAGAAAGTTATCTAGTTTTATCATCCTTTATGAGAGGAAAAATTTCCAGCAGTGTAAAACATGTCACACAAGCTATGGAATTCATCTACTCTTACCTTGTTCCCTGCCATTTGCACAGATGTTAAGATTGACATATGCACAAGCTGGACCAGGATCGGAAAACCCTCTGGTGAATGTGATTTCCAGGTCAGACCCCTTTAACTGAGGGAAGGACAACACATGATTAGCTTCATCATTCAACTGCAGTGTGCCACACCACAAAGCAACACACAGACTGCTTAGGGAGGACAAAGGCTCTGGGTGCCAAATGCTACCATTTATACCCCCATTTTCACTTCTTGTCCTTTTAAAAGTGTAAATTTTCTGATTATATACTATATGCTAATTTTGAAAAGTAATATGCAAAATAGAAAAGGAAAACTACCTGATGAATTATGAAAATGAATTATGGCCTACTGAAAGGAAAGAGCCATTTTCAGTGCCTCCTTTTTTTTTTTGGCAGAACTGGGGATTGAACTCAGGCCCTTGCGCTTGCCAGGGAAGCGCTTACTCCACTGAGCCATCTCCCCGGCCCCTTTTCAGTGCCTGCTTGTCTGTCTTTTTGACTCAGATAAAGTAGGAATAAGACAAGAAAATGAACCATTTGATCTCCTCGCAAACCTCAGATCCCCTCCTGGCTGTTTCCCAGAACTACTGTGACAGCATGTCGGTCTTCGCTCCTTTACTCTTCTCGATTCCTTTCCCAGCACCACCCAGAGCAGTACTGCAGGACTAAGAATTGTACCCCCCTTTCCCGAGGGCCAGAAAATCAAGATGCAACTATGTGGGCTTAAAAAGTCCTTTAGTAGTCCAGCAAATCTCAGAACTTACCTGTGTTTTCTCTTTAATAAGGATTTCTTCTGATGCAGAAACTGGATACGGTTTCAAGGGAGCCTTTATGGTGGCACATATGAACTCTGTGTGGCTTTCAATAATTTTATTCAGATACCTCTCTTCGGACTTTGCATTATAATACACTGTTATTTCATCAGTGGGAACCAGATTGTACTGAACGCATATATATGGCAATGTGAAAAGAGAAGCACAACTGTTAGGCATGGAATCCGATGATCTCAATGATGCAAACATTTGCCATAACATGAGCTAAGCTTAATAATAGCAAATCAGAGGAGGAGGCATGAAGGACGAGGAAAGGGGAGGAGGACTTCGAAACAAGCTGTAGAATGTGTATGTGCCCACTCCCAAAGGTGATTACAAACTGCATGCACTGCAAGTATGCACTAATAAAATTTTTAGAAGTTAAAAAAAGTACAAACCATGAAAAAAAAAAAAAAAAGACTGGTGATCCTAGCTTACTTGTGATGGAAAGCTATGCCTGCTCTTCTGCCAGAGTTACTTATAGCACCAACTGCTCTGCTTGTGTGGGAAGGGTACATGGCTCTTCTTAGCACAATGAGGCCCTCATGAAAGCTGACACACAGGAATGACCTAGAATTCACATAGAAAACTCTAAACTAGAACAGAGCACACAAGTACCCTGTTCACCTGCAGGAGAGGCCTCCTCAGACTCTGGCCCATAGATCTCAGAGGCCTGGCCTGGGCAAGATGTGTAGGAGCCCTCACTCAAAAAGCTGCCTCAGAGTAAGTGCTTCCTGACCCTCTCATGGTGCTCTGTAGGTAATGGGCTTAGTATGCTTTCCTCCACTCCCCAGTGAGGAAAAACCACCCCATTCGGTCCAGATCCAGAAAGCTCTCCCTGCGGCTAGAAGGGCTCTCACCCCGACCACGCTGTCACCTCTCATTACCTTATGCCCTAGTCAGAGAACAAACTATCCAGTGATGATCTTGTGGAATCCAGAGGGAACCAAAAAAGATGGAAAGGTGCATAGGTTGCCTGAGAGCTCTTAGAATAACAAAGAGCCAGGTTAGGGATTTAGCTTAGTGGTGCAGCACCTGCCTGTCAAATATGAAGTCCTGAAGGTGATTCCTAGTGCAAAAAAGAGAGAAACAAACAGCCAGATCCCGCGTGGAACTGTGTAAGTAGAAAGGCCAAGGGGCCTGTCTTGCCTGCACAGCGCAATCTGAATGGATAATGCAATGGGGATCATAATGGATCACTATGACTAATATCATCTGCTTCTACTGTCCTCCCTAATAACTGAGACAAAACAAATAGTGAGCTGTAGCTTGCTTTTAAGCTCATAAACTAACCTTCTTGCGAAGTTTCTGGATGCGATTGATAACTTCCCGAGCCATTCCTTCATCCAACATTGACTGGTCAGGAGTGACATCTAAAAGAACCAAGGCCTGTGGAAGGATAGGGCACATGATGACGCTCAAACACCGGGTTTGTAGGAACAACACTGCCTGCAACCCAGCAAAATGCTATGTAAAACTAAGTTCTGTCAAGTCGATAATGCGACACTGTTTATTCACTTTACTGAGCAAGGAAGTACGCTTAACTTAGTTTCTGTTTCATTTAGGTACTTCTTTGTAATCAGTTATCCTCCACCTCTGGAGAAAGACACAGCCTTTTCTTGGTAGGGTGCTTTCCACAGGAGCCCTAGGATACCCCTTTCATAACTCTCTTTTGGCCATCTAATAAATAGTACCAGCTCTTCTAGTAATTACGATCAATAATCATGACCCTCCAGGAACAGCAAACATTCCATACCACAAAAATGGACCAAAGGTTTCAAATTAGCCAATTTCTTTCAAGTAATTTTTTTACTCTATGATCTCTTCTCATCTTTTGTCAGCATGATTCAAAACACAAATTCTAGAATGGACCCAATATTATTTACTTATATTTGTATTTAAGGGAAGGGTCTACAGGGTGTTCAGGGTCTCACTACTAGACTGGACTTTTAGTGATCTGCTTATTTACAGCCTCCCAAGAGCTGGGATTATAGGCACAAACCACCACATCCAGTCTTAATCGCTATCTCGGTGCGCCCTGGGGGAGGGGCCACCATAGCAGGACTAGTGATTGAACCCCAGGTTGCTACACCAGCTTGTAGGTGCTTTAATCTGCTGAGCTATTTGGCTGGCCCTATGGACCCAATATTTTAATTACAACAATTTTAAAAAGTTTTTTTTTTTTTTT